AGTTATCAGCAAGCAATCAATGGCTGTCAGTTGGAAACCACTTTATTAATAATCCCATCATGCCAAATCAACATCAATGAATGCATTGACCTCAGCTAGAGTGTCAATAGGAAAGGGATCCTAGGTAAATTTGCCTTGATTCATAAAGTTTGACTTTGATGAATTATGCATGTATATTATTCTTAAAGAAAAAATGGCCATGGGCATAAATATTGTGCTTCTCTTGAAGTAATTTATGAATTCTTATATGGGACGATTTTTTTACTGCTTCTTAAAGTAATTTTTTAGACAAAATTATGTTTAGAAGAGTAAGAAAGCCGTCCCAAACGAAACCTAAGTCTGTCATCCCATAGTTATTGAAATATCAACGAAACATTATCTTGATCGGGCGCGAATCTCAAGGCAAAAATCATGTTGGAAATTTTAAAAATTAAATTGGAGACCATTTGAACTCCAATTTCAGCGAACTTATAGTTGAGCTGAACATCTCGGAAATAAGAACCTAACGACACCAAATTCGACCCAGTCCGAGCTTAAATTGGTCCAAATCAAAGACCCGAAGCACATTTGGAAGGTTCAATCCTTAATTTGGATGACCAAATAGTTTCCAAATATGGCATGCTTATAGTGGAATCAAGCGGCTAGAGGAGACAAATCCAACGAGCCTAAGATCGTAGAATTCTGAAATCATTAGAGCCTTCAAATATCTGATAAACAGTCCACGATCAAGAGATTCAACAACGACCGTCCATTCAAACCATTCCCAATTCACCCCTGATCTTCCTCATATTTAATGGCCATGCCACTATCAGAAAACTATAAATAGTTCCTCATTTCTTTTAAGAGGGGACCCCAAGCAAGAAGAGAAGAAGAGAAGAGAAGAAAGAATAGAAGGAGGAGAAGGAAGAAGCTCCTCATTGACTACCGTCGAACTTTCATCCGACAGCCGACCGATGCAGTTATTAAGCAAGGAGGCAAGAAGAGAAGGAAGAAGCTCCTCCTTGACCACTGTCGGTCTTTCATCCGACAGCCGACCGACGCCGGAATTAAGCATTGAGACAAGAAGAGAAGGAATAATCTTCTCCTCGACCACCATCAGAGTCCTCCCGATCTCCAAGTGATGTCGGAGTTTGGCCCGAACTACAAGGGATGTCAGAGTTCCGGCCGAACTCCAAGTGACGTCGGAGTTCCGCCCTACAATGAAGTGATGCAGGAGTTCTGCCTGATCACCCAACGTCGTCGGAATTGTAACATCTGTTTGTAGCTGAATTTCAACTCGAGAGTTGTAATCTGATCATCCTTAATTTCAGGGACGAGTCATCCATTTGTAACTTAAACAAACACTAATGAAATATTGTCAATTGGGCGTGACCCCGTGGTTTTTCCCTTTACAGGATTTTCCACGTAAAAATACTTGTGTTTCTTTTTCATTCTGTTTGTGTGTTGGATATCTGTGCAACGCTGAGATAAAAAATTACTAACTCTATCGCCGCGTATATCCTAACCCGCAACAGTTATATCTATCATCACTATTAGACACAATCTTTATATGCAATATAACTTTTGAAACAAAACTACAATGCCTAAATTCAATACAGGCACATTAGGGCCCTGTAGGTTTTTTTTCTCAATCCTAATTAATCCTGTTTACATGATCTTATCTTGTGATTGACAGGGACATCTCCACTGATTGTAAAATTATGGCACCTGGGAAGGGTTTATCAAGTACACAGGTGAAGCAACCCTTAATCTCCTTTGGAGTCATGCTTACAGCATGCAGATATTCCTGATGGTTGCTCCTTCTTCGGCATTCCTTGGTACTACCGTCACAACATTCAGGTCCTGAGAAGAGAGAAATTATTCTGTGCGGAGTCTGGACCTCACTCAGAGACTAATAAAAACGTGTCACATCATTTTAAAAGTGTGCCGTACTCGATACCGAGCGCAATCAAAAGCTGATTATATGTTGCCATCTGCCACTGGACCCTGATGCCGCAGCTCCAGAGGCTCTTTTATGGAACTGTGAGGAAGTTCTCAATGTGATGCATGGATATACAGATGCGTGAAGGCATGTCTTTCTGGCCATGATCATAAGGGTGGTTACTCGGTTGATTCACATGGCATTCACCACCGAGTTCTTGAAGCTGCTCTTGAGTGCCCTCCTGGCTCTAATGCATTTGGTTATGTGGATGTCTACCATGATAGGCTCTCTCTTGTTGGTACTGATAGGATGGTCTCCACTGAGATGGTTTTTGAACCTTGAGAGAATTGGCAGGACAACTATGTTCTGCTTCTCTTTTACTGTTAATATTTCAGTTGTGATGAACTGAAGGATATACCTTCCTGTGTTTTTTTTTTTTTTCTCTAAATCTTAACCTCAAATGAAGGTTGGGGGTGAGTATTTCTTCATGTAAATAGTAATAAACAGGTCATTGATTGTTCAAGATCTTCTTTGATCAGTTGATGTTTCCATTTTTCTACATGTTTCATTCAATGAATTTATGGTATTATATGTATTTTACTACTAATTTGTAGAATGCTTAAGAGACTACGAGTCTTCAAACTAGGAGAGTATCCACTATGCTTAAAAAAGGCCTCCAAAGTATTCCTCATCACCGCTTATTTATAAGATTTTGAGGGCTATATGAAATGCTACACAAGAATACAACATTACACAGAATATTCGTACAATGATACAAACTGCCTAGACATGTATCACCCTATGACTAGCTGAAGGATGGCAAGGTTGGAAGGCTTTGATGAGTTGCTTTGGGTGAGTCCAGTAGTGTCGAGTGGGCAAGGTTCAAATCATATTTGATAAAAATTCAAAACTTTTTAAAACTATATTGGTGCTATGCTCATGTGATACATGGATATACAGATGCGTGATGGCATGTCTTTCTGGCCATGATCATAAGGGCGGTTACTCGGTTGATTCACATGGCATTCACCACAGAGTTCTTGAAGCTGCTCTTGAGTTCCCTCCTGGCTCTAATGCATTTGGTTATGTGGATGTCTACCATGATAGGCTTTCTCTTGTTGGTACTGATAGGATGGTCTCCACTGAGGATTTTTGAACCTTGAGAGAATTGGCAGGACAACTATGTTCTGCTTCTCTTTTATTGTTAATATTTCAGTTGTGATGAACTGAACGATATACCTTCCTGTGTTTTTTTATTTTTGTTTTAGTTGGTATCTGTTGATTCCAATTAGTTATTCGGTGTTTATTGAACATTACTCTGCCTTAATAATCTTGAAATTGGATTATCTTATGCTTGGTTTGGGATGACTTTCTTATTATTTCTTAAAGCAGCTTTTTACTATAAAAATTAAAAAATTTTGAACTAAAAAGTTGTTTTAAAAAGCAGAAATTATGAATATAAGGCTTTGTTTGGGACGGCTTTCTTGCCGCTTCTTAAAGCAGCTTTCTAGTTAAAAAATTAAAAATTTTGTACTAAAAAGCTGCTTTAAGAAGCAGTAAGAAAGCCGTCCCAAACGAAGCCTAAATGTGAGAATATCTTGTAAAAAAAAAGAATCAACCTCATTAGATGCTAGTAGCTTAGTTGGAGGAATTGAAATTATGAATTGTTCTTCATCAAATAACACATCACCTATGCTTTTACACTGAATTATCAAATTTTATCACTTTGTATATAAGATTTATGTTATATTCAAGGAAAATAATTCATTGTACCATTAATCATTTACTTTGTTTTTCGAAAATATCTAATCAACTTGTTTATCTACTTTTCCTTATCTTTCATTCAATTCAAGAATGATATTATGTGATTTTATTAAAAAGTAATTGGTCAACATGCAACTTCATTATTATGAGAATATGCGTTCGAACAAGGTTCATATCATGATATGATAAGATTTGAATTATAGTTCTAAATCAAGTGGGACCCTGGTCGTTGGAAAATTATTACGTCTAGTGTCTGGATTCGTCCGGACACCAATCCAGGCGCGACAGCGTCTGAATTGGGTGTCTGGATTCGTCCGGACACCAATCCAGGCGCGACAGCGTCTGAATTGGGTGTCTGGACGTCCGGTGACCGGACGTAATAATTCGCCATGGTCGTTAGGATCATGATGAATTCGCTTCATGATTCATTTAGGTATACTCACCCAAGCTCAAATGAACTTGTTTTGCACCCAAATTCATATTGAGCATATTAGTAGTAAGATTCTACCACTATTTGTGAACAATTATAAGTCCAACCGAGATTAAAAATAGACCGATCAATTTGCTTTTAAAAATCAATCAATACGAATATGTGTCTATCTTATAGTCATCTTAAAATAGAAATTAGTGTTCGTGAATCACAAATTCAAAATCAGTATTTTCTTTACATGAGACTTCAAAACTTTTCTTCCATTGATTAGCTACAAAATTCTTTTATTACTTTTTTTTTTCAAAAATACATTTAAAAATAACATAGTTGTCTAGACGATTTAATATGTTTTTTATTTTATTTTATTTTATTAAATTAATTATGATAGTTTTTAAAAAAAATTGCCCAAAGTACATTAAGCACGGACATAATGAGCACCAAAATATCATTATTAATAATTAAAAATAATAAGTCTTGCACTCTAATATGAGTCATTAATCAAAAAAATATATAAATATAATATTATCATAAAGATAATATAAAATAATTTAAATTTATTAAATTTATTTTGCTATGAATGAAATATATATAAAAAAAATTAATTTTCATTCAACTACAAATAAATTTAATATTTAACAAAATACCCACGCAATTTTTTGTCCCATAAAATTCTCTGATTCACACAATGAAAATTTCAGTCTAACAAAAAAGTCCGTTTGTACTAAAAAAAAGTAATAAAAAATAAAAAGTCAACTATATTTTTCGTCGGCTTTTGGCCGTCTTTAGGTGGAGACACCCTCAATTATTAACATAATTATATTAATAACCCTCTGAGTCCTCTCAAATGATATTTTCTTCTTTTGCTTTAACAAAAGCCCATTTTCGTTCTCCGACTCTCCATCTACTTCACTATAAGAATTTGCCTCATTAGTTGCTCTGAGGCAGAGAGAGAGAGAGAGGGAGAGAAGCGCCCAAATTACAGTTCAGTATGGTCTCAGCTTCAGCTGCCTCTGTCTCTGTTTGTCTTATTCTTCTTCTTTTAGGGAGCTTGATGGGGCCAGTCATGGCGGAAGTGTACTTCTCCTCCCTTCCCCGGAATCTTATAGTCTCTGCTTCTCCAAAGCCAGGCCAAGGTATTTATTGACGAATTTTCCATTGTAGGTTTCATCTGTTAATTCGTCTGGTTTTTTTTTTATATGGATTGAAGCCCTTTTGATTAACTATGAAGGAATCCCTAGATCAGATGATATTATGCTTCTTTGTTAAATTTGAAATTATTTAAAAAAAGGATCAGTCCAAAACCTCAGGTTTATCAATCCTCTCTTGATAAAAACAAGGGATCTTTTTCTCTCTATCTAATTTGATTTTATATACATAAATATGACTCATATATTTTTTTGAGTAAATATGCCCCAAAGTGTGCTTAGGATCAAAATACCCCTTGTAGTAAGAAGCACTTATGTAAAGACAGATTGAGAATAAGGTTAGAATATTATTCTAAGAGAATTTAGACCTTGTTTGATTGTTGTTCAAACTATACTCAAATAGCTCAAATAGCTCAAATAGGGTTTGAATAGTATTATAGTTTGAAGTTTGAACAGTATTTGAACAAAACCTAACCCATCAAACATAGCAAATGGTGTTCAAGCAACTATAACAAGTGTCAACAACAACAACAACATCAAACCTTTATCCCATTACATGGGGTCACCTATATAAAATTATAAGGTAGATTCAATAGGAATATTTATGAATAAAGAGACAACAAAAAAGTTATTATTGTTGGGGATATGAAAATAAATCACACAATGAAACAAATAAGAAAAAATAGAATGCAACGGAAAGTAAATGACACTAGGATTTAATGTGAAAAAGCTCAAAATCAAGATAAAAACTATAAAGTCACATCACACTAAGAAATCCACTATAAAAAGTGGGAGAAATAAGTGTAGATCTCTCTTCTCTCTTACTCTCTCCTTGATTCTTTCACTCACACCATTCTCGCACACTAAACAAAAGAGAAAAACCTTTATTTACTATCAAGGGATGCCACTCTTGAGGAAAATGAGAAAGAAATTGTCCAGTCCTCCTTGAAGAGCTATGACATCAGTTTTGAGTACTACGATGCTCAACACTACCTCTAATCCGCTTGACAATGCAGCAGCGCTGAATTTGGAGCGTTGTGGCGCTCCGCTCTCTATTTTTTCTCTATCCCAGCAAACTTTGCAGCGCCGAGTGCTCGTGTACACAGTGCTAAGATGCTCGGGTATATAGTGTCGGGTTGCTTAGATACACTGCACCGGAGCATTATACTAGAAAAAAAAAAAAGTCGTGTGCAAGTCACCTGAACCCAAACAGGGTGGGGACATCTCGCACCCCCCAATGAGCAAGAGAAATTGACTCAAGGTCCAATGCAACAATACAACCTCTCGATTGATATACATAATCAAATTCCACACAAACCAACAATTACAACATGAATGAGACAACAATTTATAGATATCCACCACAAATCTATAAACTATTAAATAGTAAAGAGCTACCACAATAAATATGGCACAGTAGCTTATTAGATGAAAATCATTAAAATAAATTTAGTTCGAAGTGATACTACAACCAGATCTGCATATGCTTAAGTTCTCTTTGAATTTTCTATCGACCTTCACTCGTTGAGAACTTCTTCTTAAGTTAACATAAAGCTGTTAAATATATATCTATAATTATAAGACTAATAAGATATATAGAGTATAATTTAAGAGGTCTAACAAGTAATCATCTACAATAGTATGAAATTCAAGATATAACAAAAAATATGTAAATTTTATAAGTTTGAAAAAATGCTCCTCTTAAATATTTGATCAAATTTCTATCAACATCCACTTGGATTAACATTAAGGCTTCACTTTGTATAGCTTTCTTACTGTTTTTTAAAGCTATTCTTTAGTATAAAAATTTTTAATACAAAAAAGTTTTGTGCCAAAAAAATTGTTTTAAGAAACAGCAAGAAAGTCATCTCAAATGAAACCTTTTTCTTAGCAAGTTTTTTTTTTTTTTTACTTTTAATTAAAACAAAGAAAAGGTATAAAAGAGTACAAACTCGAACAAAAATCAACTATTCCTCCTAAAGAGGAAAGAGCATCCTGAAAAAGAAAACCAGACATGGAGCAATCAAAAGGAAAAGAGCAAAGAGATAAAAAACCCCTCAACTGACAATGAGAGGTCTCCCATGGTCTTGTAGAGGACACCAACAAAGCAAATGAAGGACCACTCCAGACAACAGCGATCCCATTTGATTGCGGCGGCCAATATACTACGAACAAGAAGACCCAACATTAATCCCAAACGAAGCCCAAATCTAATATTTTTTTTGAGTTTAGGGTTGAAAGTGTGAGCAAGATTCGATTAATAATGGAACAACTTTCAATTAACATTCAAAGCAAGCAACTAGATGCCTAATTTAATCTCGTGATTAGGGTTTAATGCTCAAAATAATCTCAAAATCATCAAGATTTAACTATAATGGTATCAAAATCATTGGATCTCTTTAAAATGATCTTCAAATATGAAAAACTACTAAAAAAATTTAGCATACTCATTACCAAAACAAATTCAAAAAATTTAAACTCCTCCAACATAGATCCTGAGCCAATTGTTTTCTAAATCTTTTGGATGCAAATCTCTTTAACCTATTATGGCTTGTGAAGTGGAGAGGTGGGAAACTATTAACAGTAAATAAATTAAAACCAATATTTACAATTCACCCATTCCCCCCGCTCTGGTGGGCATGCGCTCTGCTAGGGTTTCGGCCGCCGGTGCGAATCCTTTCGTGCAACCCTCCGACTGCGTCACTTCTTCCTGGGAAGTGTTTCTCTCCATTCTTTTTGGGTCTTTTGCTCTAAATGGCTGGTAAGCGGTTATTTGATGGTGGTTTTCTTGATGGGAAACCATCGTCCAAGTCATTTCGGGAGGCTCTTTCTGGTAACATCTCCCTTTTTCTTGAACTTAAAATTTCTACTCATCGTGGCCTTCCCTCGTTATGGATTTCTAAGGCCGAAATTTTATCGCTTGCTGCTCCTTTCGATTTTGCGTTGGTGGGGAAATTTCCGACTAACCGTCAGGCTCTTGAGGCCATTCGTAAATTCTTTTTCAATTTAAAACTCAATGGTGATTTCTCTGTTACAGTTCTGAATCCTAAGAATGTTTTGATTAAATTGGGTAATGATTTGGATTATTGTCGTATCTTTGCGCATCGTTCTTATTTCGTGAACAACCATTACATGCATTTGATTAAGTGGTCTCCGTCTTTTGATGTGGATGTTGAATCTCCAGTTATCCCTATTTGGGTGTCCTTCCCGAACTTGAGACCTCACCTCTTCTCTTTGAGGATTCTTCATGCCCTTAGCTTTATTTTCGATCGGCCCCTAAAAATCGATCATGCTACCTCCTCTGGTTCTCGCCCTTTGGTTGCACTGGTTTTTGTTGAGTTCGACGTATCTAAGAAATTCCCTGACAAGATTTGGGTTGGCTCGAAAAATTTAGGCTATGTCCAGTCAGTTACTTTGGAGGATTTGCCTTTGTATTGTTTGCATTGTAAATCCTTAGGTCATTCCAAGTTGAAATGTGGTTTTGCATCTGCATTTATCTTAGCCCCCCTTGCAGAAGGACATTCGTGCTGCTGCTGTGTCGGATTTAGATTTAGGACATATTAATTATATTTTTAATTCAAGTCCTTACCTGGTTGTTCTATCTCCTGTTGCTTTACCGTTTGTGCACCCTATTGAGATCAATTCCTACCCTCCTGGAATTTGTTCTAATGTTGTGGCTGATTTTGATTGTGAACTTGGTTCTATTCCTGCTGAGGAGGTGGTAGCCGTTGAGGGTGTTTTACATGTGTTTATATCTCCTCAGGCGGACACTGTTGTTGTCGGGCTCGAGTCTGGTGTCCTGACATCTCGTTTGTGTGTAAGTGATGTTGGTGGTGGTTTTAATTCCAAATTAGACTTGTCTTGTGTGGGTATTGTGTCTGCCCCGTGTGATTTTGTTGAGGCTGTTACGCATGGTGTGGGTGCTGATCAATCTGGGTCCTCTATTTCTCTTGCTATGTCATATGTAGAGTTCTTATCTGCTTCTCATATTCTGTTGGTTCCTGGGTGTGGTGTGGCCGATAATCATGATATCGCTTCATTAAATATGGTGGTGGATAATCCGGGGAAATCTGATTGTGCTCCTAATTGTGTTGTTGAAGGGAATGATAATTTTATGAACATCCCTATTTCTGTTTTGTCGAATGCTGAAATGCAAATCCTGTGGCTAAGTCCGTTAACAATTCGGTTTTGTTTCAAACTATTTGGCTTTTACTTAGAGAACGACTTGTCTTCTAATTCTAGTGGGGAAAATGGGGATTCTATTGATTTTGAGAAAGATGTTGTTGGTCGTGGTCATCATAAATTTAAACATAGAGGTAGGAAGTAATTGGCATGTTGTTTGGGTTGATTGCTTCCGTGGCTTTGGTGTTGATTGTACGATGATGAGGAGGCTCACACGTCCTCTCTGTGGCTTGGCTGATTTGGAACCTAGGTGCCATGTCTGTTCTAGCTCCACTCTGGTTTTGTCACCTATGGATGGCCTGTGCTTCCCTCGTGTGTTGGTGTTAGGGGCCTCCACCCTGAGTCCACTCTCGATACTTTCTTTCGTCCTGTTGGCTTTTGATTTTTTAGTTTTGTTATTGTGCTTGTTGTAGCTCGTGAATGTCATGTTCCTGTACTGTTGTATTTAGTTCGAAGTGATACTACAACCAGATCTGCATATGCTTGAGTTCTCTTTGAATTTTCTATCGACCTTCACTAGCTCGTTGAGAACTTCTTAAGTTGACATAAAGCTGTTAAACATATATCTATAATTATAAGACTAATAAGATAGAGTATAATTTAAGAGGTCTAACAAGTAATCATCGACAACATCATGAAATTCAAAATGCTCCTCTTAAATATTTGATCAAATTTCTATCAACATCCACTTGGAACAAAATTAAGGCTTCGCTTCGGACAGATTTCTTACTACTTTCTAAAGCTATTCTTTAGCATAAAAATATTTAGTGTAAAAATTTTTTGTGCTAAATAACTTTTTTAAAATACAGTAAGAAAGTCATCCCAAACGAAATTTTTTTTTCATCCCAAACGAAGCCCCTTTTTTTATCCCAAACGAAGCCTAAATCTAATATTTTTCTGAGTTTAGAGTTGAGAGTGTGAGCAAGATTTGATTAATATTGGAAAAACTTTCAATCAACATTCAAAGCAAGCAACTAGATGCCTAATGTAATATCTAAAGATGTGGAAGGCGCTGGGAAGAGGAAGTGTCAAGCAGCTTCTTTCTCCAAAGTCTATCATACATCTGCTTGAAGAAAAATTATTACGTGCAATTTTTGGACAAGTTCAGATACCGCACAGCATGGGCGGATTTCCATAGTAGTGAGGGGGGGGGGCAAATGCCCACCCTGCCGCACAGAATAATTTCTCTTGAGGAAAAAAACCGTTACTATTAGTAACGGTTTTTTAAATTCTGAAATAAGCTTTCGGTTATATTTTCTTAAGAAAATAAACAGGGTGCATATTTCTCCAATTTTCACCATCATATAATGCTCAAAACGATCTCAAAAACATTAAACTTTAACTATAATGATCTCAAAATCATTGGATCTCTTTACCAAAACAAATTCAACAAATTTAAAACTCCTCCAAACATCAATCCTGACCCAATTGTTTTCTAAGGCTTCGTTTGGGACGGCTTTCTTTCTGCTTCTTAAAGCAGCTTCCTAGAACAAAGATTTTAATTTTTATACTAAAAAGCTGCTTTTAGAAGCAGTAAGGAAGCCGCCCCAAACGAAGCCTAAATCTTTTGGATTGAGTTCTTTATCCTATTATGGCTTATGAAGTGGAGAGATTGAAAACTATTAACAGTAAAAAAAATTGTGAGAGGATATACTTAAAATTAAGCTTATTTAAAATCATCAGATATGTCAATTAAAATTTTAAATCAAAAAATAAATTTGATATCATTTCAAAAATAAAATACAAAAATTTGGAGAAATTTTATCCAAATCTTTAAAATATTTTCTAAAATAAAAATTAAATAAGATATTAATAATAAGTTTAGCATAATTTTAAAAAGGCTCAATTAATTATATCTTGAGCTTAAAATTCATTAAATTTGTTTTGAGATTAATGCTATTCATATACATAGTACTAATCTCGAAGTAAAATCAATCATTTTAAAGCTCGTCCTAAAATAATTTATATACTTCATTAAATTTTTATTTCTTACTAAGTCTTTGTTTGGTATAGCTTTCTTATTGTTTTATTTTTAAGATTGCAATTATAAATTTATTGGACTTCTAATTTTTTATTTTCTTAGAAATTTGTGTTAGGAAGTTATTTTTTAAAGCAACTTAACATTTAAATACATACATACCACCTTATACTACTCTATTTACATATTTAACACTTAAAACTTTAATATTACATACATACCACCCATAGTTCATTTTCATATAAAAAATGTGTGGTAGAAATGAAATATATGAGTGGTAGGAAAGAAATATGAGTGGTATACATGTAATATTAAAGTTTTGGGTGTTAGATATGTAAATAGAATGTTATAAAGTGGTATGTATGTAAATTTCCCAAAAAAAAATTCTCACTAGTTTTATAACTAACTTAACAAAAAGCTGCAGCTATTCCAAACGCATCTAATCTCTATTTAATGAAAATTCTGTGGTTAATTCAGTGCTGGAAGCTGGTGTGGACAACATCACCATAACATGGGGGCTAAACCAAACCCTCCCTCCGAACACCGCCGCCGCCTACAAGAACGTGAAGGTCCGACTTTGCTACGCGCCGAACAGCCAGGCCGACCGCGGGTGGCGAAAGACGACTGACGATTTAAAGAAGGATAAGACTTGCCAGTTCGGCATTACTCAACAACCCTACAGCGAAGTCAACTCCACGTTCGTCTATGGCGTGGAGCGCAGTATCCCTTCGGCCACCTACTTCATCCGAGTCTACGCCGTTGACTCTTCTGGTGCGGTGGTGGCGTACGGTCAGACCACCGATGCGAAGAAGAAGGCCGACTTATTTGATGTCGTCGGCATCACGGGTCGGCATGCGTCGCTGGATGTTGCCGCGGCATGCTTCTCGGCTTTCTCTGTGTTTTCGCTTGTTTTCTTTTTAGTGCTTGAGAGGAAGAAGACGAAGAAATAGATGTTGTATGAAGGCTCTCTTTTTTTTTTTGTTTATTTAATATAAATGGGTGGCTTTGATACATACAAGATCATAGTGTTCATTTGGAGAAACTATTATGTGCGGAGATCATACGCAAAATGTCATACAGAGATCAACTAGAATGTTTCACGTCGATGGTACCGAGCCGCAGTATCGAGTGCACGGGAGATGTAATTTATTTTGGTTGGTCTCCGGACGCCTGTCTTCACAGAATAATTAATCCTGCTTGGTCAATTTCTTACTGTTTTTTAGAGTAATTTTTTAAATTAAAAAAATTTTATATTAAAAAATTAACGTTAAAAATAATAAGAAAGTTGACTCAAAGGAAGTCTCATGGAATAAAGCCATCTTTGATTTAAATTTGAATTTGACTAATTAATTGATTGTGAGTTGGAGTTGAATCATGAGTTGACTTATTTTATATGAAGAAAAAAAGGATAATTGTGTATGATTTTAGGGGTTGTTTGGTTCGAAGAAAAGTGAATACAAAGTAAAATAATTGCCTTACTTTTTCACTTTTTAGAATTTTTTTTTGGATCAAAATCAAATCAAAGTTAAAGTAAAGTAAATGCATTATATTCCGTTTTGATGTTGTTGTGATAAATTGAAAAAATAGTAAGATAGGAGATGCATAATTAAACTTTTTTTGGTAATATTGTGACTAAAATTTTGAATTCTAAAATACTTTAAGTGAATTATTATTAATAATTTTTAAATAAGCTCGACTGATGAGTTGTCGAGCTGTGTTTGGATTGACTCGAATTTGACATGTTAGAACATGGAGCTCAACTTAGTGTATAATCAAGTTGAGCTTAAATTCACTTTAAAAGTACTCTTATCAACCCATAAGAAATGTTGATCTTTCCTTTGTTTTAGATTTATAAAATTTTAACAAAATTTTAATATCTAGAAAGTAAAAACTCACAAGTTTCTTCTTTGGAATTACATGAAGTTTATTATTTCTCCTCTTAGGTGGACATGAAAATTGGGAAGGCCTAATGAAAGATTTTTTTTTTTTTGGTACTAAGATTATGACTTATTTGGTTATGGATAAGATCTTTTTTCTCTTTCATAATGGCTTTGTTTTAAGTTAGCCACATAAGTTATTGTGTTATAGATCATGATAATTGTTGCCCTTCGAATCTTCGTACACACTAACGATATTAATAGTTGGATGGTCGAATAGTTGATTAATAATTTGCCTTGAGAATTCATTCTTTTTTTCGTATTATTAAGGCCGACTTCATAAATAGCAATCGCCATAAGAACCTCAACTTGTTGATTAAGTAATTCTTTGGATGATGATCGCCGGTTTGAGACAGACTCTTTTCTAACTAGCAAGTATAATAAAACCAAGCATTTGAACCAACTTGATTTATCTTAAACCAAATTAATTTAACTTGAGCCTAGTTTTCTAGATGATTGAATATGCAATAAAATCTTTCTAGTAATATTTTATTTTATTATGACATCATTATCAGTCTTGATAATACTAATATATTCAACCCACTTAGAAAAATAAAGAGCAAGCCAAACATTAACCATTTGAGATTCTCTTTGTAAGTGAAAAACAAGTAGCATTTAATGCAAAGGATAAGTTTGGTTTGAAGGAATTGGAGAGGATGTAATTACAATTTTTTACTTCATAATTTTATAATAGGTAATAATTAATGAGTGCATAGTCCCTAAACCCTAAACTGTAAATAAATGTATATTCATTGATAATTTCAAATCCAACTCAAATGAATAAAAGATTTAGGCTTCATTTGGGACAACTTTTTTGCCGCTTCTTAAAGCAACTTTTTAATACAAAACTTAATTTTTGTACTAAAAAAAATTATTTTAAGCAGTAAAAAAATCATCTCAAACAAAATCTTAAATAGTTTAGTACTGCTACTCACAAACTAAATGCTGCCAACATTTAAATTCATAATTTTGAAAAATATTTTTTGGGACAACTCTCTTCCTACTTTTTAAAACAACTTTTTAATATATATTTTTAAATTAAAAACTTTTATACTACCAAGTTCTTTTTTTTTTTATTTGAACGGGTATCCACCAACTACCACCCTTGAAAGGACACATGACAACATGACTAATCCTTGGCTAACCTAGAAGAGGCATCCACCCTAAAAATCACCTGGCGCGTACTTGATTGAGTACCACTTAAGAGGCGTTGCCAATCAAGAGAAATCGAGCATGGGTTGGAGGGTTCCCAACCATACTCGCCCACCAACCAAGCTAAACACCGGCGGGTCTACCAAATTGTTTTTGAAAACGGCAAAAAAGATGTATCAAACAAAGCCTATAGTGCACCTTAAACCACCAATGAATAAAACAAAGCGGTGAAGGACAACAAAGAGAAAAAGAGGAGCCATGAAAGAAACAGACTAACAATTTCGACGCTATCAAGATAACAAATAAGAAATACATTTGATTCACGAAATATAAGGCAAATCTTGACCTATTTATTGGGAGCTTAATCTATCAACTAAGAAATATTTACTTCAAAAAGATAATGTGTGTAACTTCATTGGCTCAAAAAGTCTAAAAAAATAAGATTTCCGCGAATAAAGGGTGATATTATATTATATAGTACAATAAAATTAGTCAAAGTAAACAACTGATGCTTAACCTTGATACGGGAAAATTTAAATCTTACACCGCATCAAAGGTGGCAATTAAATTTATACGATGAGAAAAAAAAAAGAAAAAAGAAAAGCTTCTGCTAACAATGGCAGCTACAATTTGTTCGAGCACAAAAGAGATAGATATTAAAATACTATATTATTATGTTTTCTCTTTCTGGTTGTCAGAAGAAAGAAATAATAGATCCAATGTAGAGACTTCCTTCACCATCTTTCCCGAGATTTTGACCTGCGAAGAAGAAGGTTAACAAAGCTGTTTAGGTTATAGCAACGGCTCAAAATTTTCAAAAATCAAGGTATTCATATAATAAACAGAACCTCACAATATCAAAAATGAATCAAGAAATGATCAGGACACTATAGATTCAAAGGATTTTGCTCTCAGAACCATTGATAAAGGAGTTCAAGGACTAGAAATGCAAAATTTAGGTTTCGTTTCGGACAGCTTTCTTACTACTTCTTAAAGCAGCTTTTTTATATTTAAACGAGATTTGACTTTTAATACGACAAAATGAAGAAAAATTATTCATGCAGCCGACCCCACGTAGTGGGACAAAGGCTTGATGTTGTTGTTGTTGTACTGGAAAGCTATTTTAAGCAGCACTAAAAAGCCGTCCCAAACGAAGCCTTACATCAGAAACATACCTGTCGACGTTTCTGCTTCCAAGAAAACCTGAATCCCTGCTCCGCTGGAACCCCCGCCGGTCATCCATGGGCCTGCTCCATGAATCACTCCCTCGCGATCGTGGCCTCTCCATAAACTCAATGTTCTTTGAATCCTCTGAGATGCCAGACTGAGATGGAGGGAGCCTATCTGAAGAGAACGCTGTTCTACCCGATCCAGAACCAGGCCTGGCATCAATGGAGGCTTTCTGACCAAAACGAACCTTGTCATCCAACTTGCAAGCCAGTTGATCTCGCTCTTTCTCCTTTTGGCTTATCAGCTCATGCAAAGCCCTTGTTTGTTCAGTAGAAATATGTGCAGAATCAGAATCAACTTTATTATCAGTTTCCTTAGCAAGCTCTTTCTTTAAATGATCAATCTCTTTTTCCAGAATCTTTTCATCATCTGTCACAGACCTGATTCAGAGAAGTCGGTGAAGGAAAGCGTGAACAATGGGTAGAAAGGAAGACAATAAAAAATAATATCGATTGAGGATCTATCTGGGAACATGAAACACCACCTTGCCTTCTTTAAAGGAAAACATCAAATTATCCAGCCGTCTACCTTCTAGTGTAGCCAAGTTGTTGGAAAGATAAATAAAAGGAGAATTAAGGGCAGGAAGAAAGGAAGATCGCCAAAATCACATACAAAAAGATCTTGATATATTAGGAAAAAAGTGTTTATTTGAGGCAAAAAAAGAAAGAAAGATGTAGTTTTTTAAAATAAAGTGCTGCCGGGAACTTCAGAAATTTGCATCAATTTTATTTTATTTTTTGTTTTATTTATGTGCCAACGAATAAATAATTACATAATTATTTGTATCTATCGTTACTTTTTGATTGATTCAATGGAAACAGAACAACTCTTTTACCATTGATTCTACTAACTACAATAAGCATTTCATTTTATAACTTTAACTCACAAGTTCCTATGCTACAGTGTTTCATCAGATTTTTTCTTTATCCATAAAACTAAAACAAATGTCCAAGACAACTTTGAATCAAATAATAGCCAAAGAAAAAAAAAATCGATTTAGAAAAAGAATAACAAGGATCTCAAAGATTGACTTAGCTTTATGAAACCCTAACCTCATTCATATATTGCAACAGTGCATTTGATGATAATAATAATAATAATAATAATAAGTGCATTTAATAATAAATTTGAATTAAGAAACACTAACATTCTATAGATAAAGCATCTTGGCAAAAGCCAAAATCGTTAAATATTCATGGTTCAGGTTAATCAGAAAAGGGTTTGCGAAAAAAAGTGGTGTGGTAACACATCTTAATATATCTAGCATGTCACTTGATTGTCTGTGCGATGAAAGTATGCTCATGAGATTTTCTTAAAAGAGGGGAGGGTTTTGGCAAAAGGTGAAGGGCTACATAATGAGAGTCAGTTAATGAAAAGATGATAGTATCCATGTCCTTTATTATTAAAATGGTGGGGGGCTGCATAATGAGAGTCAGTTAATGAAAAGATGTTAGTATCCATGTCCTTTATTATTAAAATGGTGGGGAGCATTATCATTGAAGAACCAAAGGGTGGCGATTTACCCTTCCTTGGAAATCAAGGTATGGGACAGTTAAGATAGGTTTGTAAACCTCAAAGATTCAACCAAATGCTTCATGAGAATAGTACGTTGCATAGCACGAATTGATTGCTACCAGAAGAATCTAATGAAGTTGCAAGTTCATTTCCCTAAAACACACCCTAAAATACTACATCTATTCAACCAACAATCTCTATGACAAACAGCTCTAAATTTGTATCTCCATTTGCGCTCCCTCAAGAAATGCAACTTTCAATTGATTTATGACTAATAATTATAAATTATAACAATTATAATAAAATGTTCATGTCAATACTAGCTCAAGTCGATTTCTTATGCACATATCCATATATAAGATCATCATGAGTGAATATTTAATTGAAGATGAATAGAAAATAGACATGAAAGCTATGTCTAACATGCTAGAACTACCTCAAAGCGTCAATGCTGAGCTACATCAACCACTTGACTCTCAAGCTTTCCATAACAAAGTTCTAGGCGTCATGTGGTTTGGATCTCTCAAGACTAGCAATTTTAGCTATTTTTCTACATGAACTCTAGGTTACATGCCTCGAAAACTCTCTTATTTAGCGTTTTGAATTCTTCATAATTAAGAAGAATATATCTTTTCACATTTTTTTTTAAATTCATACGGATCATAGATGATTTTTTATGAAGTCATGCAGCTGCTTATTTTTCTGTCAAAGATCAAAATTATAAGCTATTATTTCAGTTATATTTTCTTCTTCTTCTTTTAAAATTTAAACTCTTCACTGCTTTAATTTTCGGTTGTTGTGATTCATGTAAACTTTATTATTGTTTTGCTAGCTATGGTTTGTTGTTTCCACTGTTAACATCCAACTCCACGTGTAGAGTCAAGGGATCATCCAATCAATAGTTGGAGGCGAGAATTAAAATGATTGTTGCCTTTAAGTGGAATAAATATATTTAAAACAGTGGAATTAACTAGAGAAGTGATGCTAACGGTGATTAGGGTTTGTTGGGTAAGCCAAATTACGTTTTCCAGGTTTCTTGTTGACGGAACTCAATTTGATGAAATATGATTCAGAAATTTTAAAGGTAGAAGTTTTTTTCTCAAGCTTTAAGGTGCATGGAACATCTAAGGCTCATGGCTATAGAGAGAGTCCGGTGCATATAAGCCAGCTAAGGGAGTGGCTATGGAAGGAAAAGGAGGTGGCTATGACAGGAAAAGGAGGGACAGACTGCAGAGTGAGCTTATCTGGGAGAGTAATTAAATAAATATTCTATTTTATAACAAAAATTAGTCTTATTTAAATAATTATTTTATAAAATATATCACAAAGATCCTAAAAACCCTAGAATCAAGGAATAACAGGAAGACCTTAAATTCAGGAAGTGGCAGACACCTCGATGTAAGTTTGGTTAGAAATTTTAGCTGCCCGCGCCCTACAATTTTAGCTGCTAATCTATGTTGCACCGATACGGATACGGCGACACGGATACGACGCGATACGGATACGGGACATGCCAATTCTTAAAAATACATGATACGGATACGGAGCGGATATGACATTATAATATATAAATCATACATAAAAATTAAGAAAATAATCAAAACGTAATATCTGAAATGACAAAAAAAATTGAAAGCAATATCATTTGTAGCATTGTATCTTATACTATCAAAACGTAATACGGCTTCCAATTCAAGCTCATCAAGTGAAAGATTAGCAATTTCAAATATTCGAATAAGTGCTAGTGTATAGTTGGCCCCATGGTATTCCCTAACATATAACTACTGGATCCACTAGAATAATGATTCCCACTGATGAAATTAACTAGGTCATCCGAATCTACATTTGAATTAGAGATAAGAAAAAAAATTCTCAGAGTACCCTAAAATAGCACTTACTCGTGTTATTCCATCTTGTATCTTTAAGTTTTGGGTAAGGTGGCATTTACTTATTTATCCTATGATTGCTCCCTTTTGAACTCTTCCAGATCATTACATTGAGAATAATTCTTCTTTTTCTACCCCTAAAATGACTCTTGATCGCTTTTAGATCATGTTTCTCAACCAATATGGTTTTTCCATACCCCTTTGTTTCAATCCCTCTCTTGCAATGTTGACCTTTTAAGTCACTCGTACAAATCAGTATAAAAGTCCAACAGGAAAAGCCTCTAGATCATGAACTTCATCTCCTCTTCCTTCTCCTCAGCATCAAGCTCATCAGGGTTAAAATTATTTGTGTACCATACATCATCAAAGTGGAGACTTTATGGAGTAGTCCACAAAAAAAGAAAAAAAAAAAAACCCAAACAGCCTCAAACACCAACAATACTTCCATGCTACATTGGTCAATTGCTCCTTCAACATGTAGTTTTGTGCCTCCTTAACCAACAAAATTTCGCTGTCAGTGAGAAAAATTGGAGCGATGGCCAAAAGAAACCATCCAATCTACATTTGGAAGTAGAAAAAATATTTATATTATTTGCAACTTAAAGTCGAGAAATTAGGTCTATACAGATAAATTTAAGGTCTTACAACACAAGTGGAGTTAGCAGAAATAAAGGATTCTGAAGTAAATCCAAACTAGAGTTTTTAACTTTAATGGTGATTGATAAAAATTGGTCTATTTTATTATAACTCCCAACGGTCACAGTGGAAGGAATGAGGAACTGCTAAGGGTCACGTCAAAGGAAGTTCCAAAAGTAAAAGAGAAAGCTAGGGTAGTGCATATAGTTGTGTGAGCTTGATTGTGTGCGCGAGGAGATTGCTATTTTTTTAAGGGGGAATAATTAAGCTAGGGGGGGAGAAGAACTCCATGAACACAATTTGGAGTGGTTTGCATGCACAACTTAAATCTAAAAACTTAAACAAGATCCACAATATTATTTTCATTCATCAAAATCATTCAAACAAGGATAAATCAAAATAATATAAATTCTACTATAATACTATTTTACAATCAAGTACAAAAATAAGATTATCCAGCAGAAAATAATATGATATAAAAAAATAGAAGTATTGGATAAGGTGTGGTGCAACAAGTGCACGTTGTAGGTAGTTTGATGCTGATGATCGGTATGATAAGAAACTAAATAAGGCACACATTGAATGGTGAATATAAAAGTATCATGTATTAGAGCATGTAAGCATCGACATTAGGATGAAAACGAAATTTCTAGATGAGGTAGCTCATTACTACCTGCTTTGCAACTAGTGAAGTGGGATACGAGAGAAAAAAGTTGAAATAGCATGACAGAAGAGCAATGTGCGGTAGACAAGCAAGTACTGATGACTGCTATAGGAAAGAACTGTGATTCACAAATAAGACTGAATATGATGAGCAATAGAGCAAGGCTACTGGAGGGGAAGAAGAAACTCCACTTAGAGAATTGGACATGATCCACGCACACAATTTGGATCTAGAGAGCACTCGATTAATTTCACAAAATAATTTTCATTCATCAAAATCTATTCAATTACAAGATAACAATACCCAAATTATATAGAAATAAGCTATAAGAATAGGACCAAATCATTTATATTCAAATATAATTCAATCTTAAAATCAAATTCAAATCTAATATTATACCAGAGAGGATGATGTGCCTAGGGGTGTCAAAATGAGTTCTTGGGTCGGGTTTGGGTCCAACACGAGATTGACCAGTCTTCAGGCCAAACCCGAACCAACCCAATCAAATAAACAGGTCATAAACCTGGACCCTAACCCGAGTACCCGACCCAACAAGACCAACCTGGGTGAGTGCACCAGGGCGAGAGAGAGAGAGAGCGGGCAAGTGCGACTAGGCGTGTGTGAGCGGTGAGCAAGAGAGCAAGACGGGTGAGTGCAACTGCACGTCTGCACGAGATGG